GTTCTAGGGAACAAAAAAAATTCACAGGCTGACATATCGGGCGAATAAGGCGGTTGTTTTAACATGGCGATCCCTTTAGAGGACAAATACTGGGACACGCTAAGCGTTATGTGGCACGGGCAAAACTTTCTCATCTCAAGATCGTAGGTTAAAACTTGTCTGACTGTTCACACCCAGCTCCGACGCCAACATTCGAACTGTCAAGCGTCGATCTTCACAGATTAGAGCGCGTACACGCGCATCTCGACTGTTCTTCCGCTCCGCGCCTTGCATTCCACGCTTTTACTCCCCTACTTAAACTCTTAATGCCGCCAAAATACCTGGGCACGACTAAGAGCAGTATCACCATGCACTTTTGCAATTTTAGCGTACATTGCCGAAGCTGTTTCGCTAAATTTGGCGCTAGAGCGATGGGAAATATATCATTGGAGAGGAGATGGAGGCCGGGAGAAGGGGAACGGAATTTAAAGATCGCAGGGTTACCACAATCGCAGCAATATAATCAGTCTCATTACTTAACTGTCACACCTCGTAAGTGCTGGAGCTTATGTAAATAAAGTGTGTGTGCGGCATGAAGGAATAGAGAATTTTCTTATACGCGGGGTGAAAGGATGAAAAAACTTTACACATACAAGAGTAGCTGCCAGTCGTGACCTTCAAGGGCTCTGAAATAAAAATAAAAGTAAAAAGAATTCGCATTTAAAATGCGTTTTTTATCTCAAGACAATTAACGAAAGGCGTTTAAGAGGCTCCCTGCATTAAAAAAAATGAATATATATAACGGGTCAACATGTAGAGAGGATGGCGAAACGCTGTAGCACTAACTTTGCTAGCGTCCGGCCTTCACCCGACTGAGATGTCACATCTTGCACAAAGCTCCCAGCTCCAACCGTATAGAGGTGGGCACGCATGGCTGGAAGAAACTTAAGGAATTTTTAAAATTTCGCAAGCGTTTAGTTTGGATACACGGGGGAGCACAATAAGCCTGATGAATGGCTCCAGGGAATGGGTCCTCAACATCAATCAAACCAAGTATCAAAATTTCATTCTAAGCCTTGGGATTCAGTGGAGTGGAAGTATTCTTCTTTCTATCAGAGTGGTCAAAAAGCATTACATTCGTTCTTCTTTTAAGTTCTTGCCATCAATTGGAGACACCAAGCGAAATCGGCTTTCACCTATACCTTCATCTTAAGCACATTGTTTGATGACGAAGGATTTTGTTTTCTTACGTCCCCAGATCCAATCATTGCGCTTATCAGTTCACACTTGAATCCATTGATATCAATGGCAACTGCTGAAGCGATTTTCAAACAGTCTCCTACCCCAATTTGTGATGTATGTCTTAATGTTTCTCACCGCCTTAAGTGTTGTACATACATATCTTGAATTTTAGCTTCAACTGGAAGAACATTCATTGCCTACAATGATATCAAGATAGGATATTAAGACGCCGACCTATCTTATGAGAGCGCAGTGTAAATGGCAGATGTTGGCGTTAACGCTTTAATAGCCGTAAGAGAGTAACTAGAACAGTTCTATTTTTCCGCAAAACAGACTCAGCTTATCGCTCTCTATTAACAGTAAAGACAATTTTAAATCAACGGAGCAAATGCAAATGATTTTCTAAAGAAATTAATATTTAAATTGTTAGAGAGGTGCTACAGATGGTTGATTGAACTATTAGACATCTCGCGCTTATGGAAACCACCCCCGACCATGTTGATTCTATTTTCCTTGAGATAGCGTTTCGTCTACTGGGGTGCACGAAAGTACTTCGATGATAGAGTTTGGCACTTACCTTAAATTCATACATAGTTTTGTATTTATTTGTATGTCGAAAGGACATAGACAGCTCTACGGAAATCACTGCCGCCAGGAGCAAAGGACTATCAATCGTTTGCCAAAAATTTTCTTTCGAAAATATCCAGTATTGATTCATCGAACTTCATTGACCATACTTCTACACCATGACGAGATGTGCTTGAAGTGTTCTCCGAGAGATGACTTTAATTCCCAAGCGCCTACTCAGTGAAAAGAAGGGCTTGTTGACAATAGATTCTGTGTTGGATTTTAGGTTTGACACGATTGTTGTATTGATTGTTTAATTATGGGATACGTTCGTCTGCTAAGATAATTCCTCGTTTATTCCGAATGATGGTTTCAAAATCTGCAGATTGTATAATTTTCTGCAGAAGATTAAATATCAAACTGATTTCCAAACCATTTTTTTTTTTTTGGAATTATTATTTTCTGAAATCTATTGGTTAAATTTACCTTTTAATTTATCGAGCTCTTCGGGTTTGTCTAAGAAAGTGAATCCTAGAAGATTTCGTAGATGAACCCCTAAATTACTAGGATTCTGCAAAGATTACGGTAGTGTATATCTTCATTTGGTTCGCCTCGGAACGAAAACACTCAGAGGGATTGACAGTCCTTGCCGAGGGGCGATATTGATCGAACCAGGACTTGAACACTGGCCTTCCGAGTGACAATATACAATGCTAACCATTCGACCGTTGCAAACGCAATCAAAGAAAGATGAACATAAATAATCGGCATTCAAGAAATACGATGGACTGAATAGAGTATATGCTTACGGCTACCATTAAAAAAAATCGCTAACTCTGTTTTTAGTTCGTAGGGATTCGCAAAGCTAAGTTCGTCAACTTATGGCTGACTTAAGATCAGGTATGATACATATGAGTGCTACCTCGTCACGCTCGTCCCGATCAGACACACTTTTCACAAACGCTGCAATTATTTTCCAATGAATCTATGGTTCCTAGGTCTCTTAATGGTGTGGATTCTATGCATCATGCCGTTCAGCCGTTTAATAACTTTATATGGACCATTGCAAATACACTGCAAACTCGACATTACTTTTTTGTGTAACGAATTAAAAACTAACACCAGATCTCCTTTCTGAGCCCTTTCTGATCTTGTTGTCTTATCTCTGTAGCTTACAACCTAGGCACGCCTGACTTTTTTCTGCCATTTTCGTGAGTATTTTCTTTCTGATGCTCATTCTTGACCAGAAACTCTTCCTTACTACTGATTAAGTGGCATTCTTGCTCAGCCTCGAGTTTCCACCCTCCTATCTGTTTGAAGGAGTCCTTCGTACAAATGCGGGCGTATGGTCTCTGACTTTCTCGTTGACTTCCTGGTACTGCTGTTTTTGCTGGTTGCACGTAGTGATGTTAATCAAGAATCTCAGCGTTTGCACCACGACACCATGACTTTTCACCCCCAAACGGCTTTATACACAGATCTACAGATGAGCGAGGCCGTTTCCTGTGTCTGAGCGTTTCAGCAAATATTGGCATAAACTTATCGCTTAATATAGATATATCCGTCATTCTGCTGATGAACCTCTGGATGTCTACCCTTTCAAAGTATTCCCTATGTGCCTAATGTGCCAGAGGCTCAATTTCAAAGCAAACTCATTTGGCCTCTCGTTACAGCCCTCCAGTTTACTCCACTTCACTCACTCTGATGTTATCACTACCGAGTTCCAAACTTAACTAAGCATGCCAGCAGTGAGCGTTTCGCTCTTATACAACTGCTGATTGCTCGCACGTAGCAACTAGTAGATTCTTTTTGCATGTTCTCGATAACGTGCAATCGACACGTACTCTATCTAGAATATGTTTTAGTTATCGGCCTCACCTACCCTCCATGATCGTATTTAGCCGCGTTATCTACGTCACAATAACTTTGAAAGAAATGAAAATAAAGGGTTTTGTGAATTTAATTTTTTTTTGGGAAACTCAGTATGAATTTCATCAAGAACCTTATCTGTATCGAGCACATTTTACATTTGTAATACGAAGAATGGAACACTAGAAATATTTTTCGATTTTTGTTTTGTTTTATTGTAATTTATCAAATTTTTTCCTGTAACACTTCTCCCCTACCCCATTAAACGTCTATTAAAAAATATTTAAACTTAAGGGGATACATAGGTCTTGAAACTTCAAAAAATTCATTTTTTGATAATTTTTTGTATAAAAGCACAAAGTGTCAAGAATATTTTCTTCAAGTTTCAAGCCAATCGAGACGAAACTATATAAATTAGAAAGTTTTATAAACCGCCGTCTCTGTCATGGCTTGACCGATGGCGAATCTTTGAACGTGTTTTTCTTAAAACCACTTCGCCGAAATCGGTAGTCAAAATTCCTCAACGACTATTGAAGCGATCGAGTTCAAATTTCCCACATTTCTTTTAAGCATGTTTTTGTAGTCCTTGAACGAAGGATTCATTATATCTTTGATTTCAACGCATTTTTCAAGCCAATATGTAATATGTAAAAAACGCTACAAAAACTCAATTTTTTTTTCTTCGTTTATTGACAAGGGAAATTCACATAATTTAAGAAATAAATTAGATTTTTGATTTCAGATAAAAATTGAAAAAGTTATCATGACTACCGCGAAAGCACTTTCTTGTGGACGGTCTACTTCACGACACTGCCAACGCCTTAACTTATGAAATTTTCCATTCAAATTTTCACCAAATGTTGTCCATATATTGAACTTTTATATGTAAAGAAAATAATTTGTACACTTTATTTAATATCTTTTAAAAATAATTAGAGAAAATAAGCTTTTTTGGCCTTCAAGACCTATGTAACCTCTTAAGTGAATAATAAAAAAAATATTTTTGGGTTATAATCAGTTTTCTAGTTTATCATACGTCTCGATAAATATCTATTAAAAATTATCAAACCGTTTGCTAATTACCATGTATTTTTATATTAAATATTTGTCTGGAAAAAACTACGCAGCTTTGCTCCCTAATTCTCTATCTGTGTTACGTGGCTATTTCTTTAGACGATTTACGTGGTTTATTTGAAAAGCATAAATCACTTCACTTGAAAATTCGACCTTGCAGCACTCCTTGCGTTAATAATTTAAGTAATTTTCAGTAGTCTGGCAATATTAATTACATGGCTGCTTTTTGACATCAAGTGGTTGCTGTCATTCAACAAACAATTTGCAACCCTAATGCGTTTCAAGTTAGCTACCAGAAAAAAAAGAAACAAAATAAACAGAAATACTACAGTTGTTTACAAAATTATTGTAATTTCAACAAAAATTTTAATTCATATATGAAATATTTGTTACTTACATAGTAAACGAGTATTTCTAGCATAAAAGTGAAACATTTTCTAAAATAATGCGCTATCAACAAAGGGAGAATATTGATTTGGGGTAAAACGTAAAATTATGCAAGTTGCAAATAGGACTGTACCTCAGCTAATTACGACCAGTTATTGCAACGTTGTCCTGAAAAAGAATATTAATTGTATTTTTGAAATTGTTGAAAAATTAAAATGAGTGAAACCAAAGGTTTGTTTACATTAAATAGAAGTATAAACATATATTTATAACCACATTGCACACATACATGAATATCTCGTTTTTCTTTTTATCAATATAGTGATGATGATTAACGATATATCAACTAAAAAAGAATCTCACAATAATAAAATGAATAACAACAATCAAAATGTATCTCAAAAACATTCCGGCCCATTTTATATTTCGCCTTCTCTATTCGACAACAAACGTTTGCGACAAAAACGTCTCCGTTGGGCGAAAGCTTTACTGGCAGCGGCAGGCTTTAAGCAGCATCAACTAATGCAACGGAAAAAGACTGAACGCCGCAAAAAGGTTTTATGTGATCTACGTGCAAGCGTTACTATTGATTTATTATCAGAAGATGAAGAAAAGTCATCGTTCCAAATCAACGGAGATGTTCAATATAACAAAACTATAGCAGATACAAAGCAGTCAATGCCATTTCCCGATGGACCACCACCACTAGCTCCGATATCCAACATGTATTCAACCAACAAATTGCATCTATCACAAGTGTACAATTGTTCTAACCAAACTATAGAACTGTCGAAGGTGCCGAATATAACGCTTGTACCTGTACAAAATTTGACAAGCACACCTATATCACAAGCACCAGTTGCATCGGTGGCACCTATGCCACGTCGCGTGAAACGAAAACGTAAATCTCAACAACCGCAACGTCATAAACAACCAATTGTAGTAAATAACGAAAGTATAGTGTTAAGTGATGACAGTGATAATGATATATGTTTAGTTGAATCGCCACCAAAAAATATTTCCAATACTACACATTCTCCAACATACACATCCGTGGCGGCAGTGTCGCCTATAACAACACCAATTATCGCCAACAGTTTTTCACTTGCTGAAACAACGCCTTCTTCATCTTCAAAACCTACCACTTCCCCTGCATTACAAACACCATACAGCGCGCAGGTTGAGGAAGAAGTAACCGTCTCGATCGTACCACGCTCCTCTACAGCGGGAAATTGTCTCAAATCTAGTGCCAGCGAATTATTCCCCATGTTACCCGATGAAACAACGGTGCATACAGTTATCGCAAATCGTACTTATGAGTTGTCATTAGCAAAACTACGCGAAGGGCTGGCTTCCTGCGGCGTATCAGAGTTTGCAAATGGTCAACAGAATACGGCGTCGACACGGCGTAAAGGTCAATTGGTGGATACACCACCAATGGTTTCGCCAAATCCGCCACCCATATCTTTGAAACTATCTAGCGACTTGAGCATATCATTGATCTCAGATGATGACGAAGACACTGCTGAGCAACAACGTTTAGCGGCAGAAAGTCTATTACAGAAACAACCCCAATTAGTGGTGCAGCACCTGCAATTGCCTGCCGTCGGTCCATTGCCAGCCGGCGCAAATCTATCGTTAGCTAACTCAAGATTGCCGTCACGTCGACAGAAGCTGAGTTAAATTTTTCGATATGAAATAGAAGTGTCATGCGAAAATTTTTATAATCGGTTTTTCATTATGGAAATCTAAGCACTTTACTAATTTCATACTTTCAACAGGCAGACTTTGGCAATGTTAAATTGTATTATCTACTACGGGTTTTTGATTTTTCAAAACCAATTGTATTTTAATTACTAAATTTTTATTTGTTTTAAGTTTAGTTTCTTAGTTGAAGCCATAATAGCATTATTACTGTAAGTCAGAATATCACATACACGCTTCCGAATATCTTTCGCAACTATGAACGCTTTCCTAAATTGCCGTATCTTCATTTATCATTTTTGAATATTAGATTTCTATTATCGCGCTACGAAGTCTTAGAGTAGGTTTAATGTACAAAGTATTCAAGTTTTTGTAAATTGATACAAAATGCTTATATAAAATTCATAATTACTTGTTTATCCTTAAGACCAACACTTGTATATATATATATATATATATATTTTCTGAATAAAACAAACATAATTGCATAGAAGTATGTACGTAAGTGAAAAATTAAAGCAAGAAAGTTTTATATTTTAATTTATTTTACAACATTATCACTAAAACTTAAAAAGTAAAACAAATTAAAAATGATAAGTTTTTACTTCCTTTTACCACCACCACGTTTCCGGCCATAATCGATTTCACTACAAAGCAAAGGATTATCCCTTTGATTTTCATATGCAGCTTTCGTTGTCGAGTGATAACCGCGGGATTGTTTGGGTGCGCGTGTTACAGCAGTTACAGCAACACGTTTCAGTGCTTTTGGCACAATATACTCCGGTACGTGTGATAAATGTGGTTGTACCTTGACCGTCTTCAGTGGTTTATCATGACGCAGTACTTGCAGGTCTCTGGTGTTTTCATTGAAAAAACCCTTCAATTTTTCGCTATTGAAAATTTCTATTCTGATTTCACGCATGCGTGCCTCGCGTACTGCAATGCGCGTGATTGCACGCCAGGCATCTTGTGCGCGATAGCGAAATGGTTCAACTTCTTCCAGTTTGAACTGGTAATTTCTAAATAGAATTCGTTAAATTAGCTTCGTTCGTACATACATCTGACTTTCAATGCACTTACTTAATTACTTGATCCTCACTCATGAAGCCGCTACGCAGACGCTCCTCTACAGCTTCGTTCGTTTCTTTGTCATTTAAACTGACAAATGATAAAACACTTCCCTTATTTGTGCCACGTGCCGTACGTCCAGCCCGATGTATGTAGGAATTAACATCGATGGGAAAGTCGAAATTTATTACATTCGCAACGCAGTGAAAATCTATACCTCGAGATGCGCCAGATTCACGATCACTCTTATTACGGCCAGGATTCTCCAACATATGCTCATCGGATGCGATTATTAGATCATAGATACCTTGGTTGAACTGGTTTATTGTATGTATACGTATTTTTGTAGGCAGCTCTGAATTTAGTACGCATGATTTTATTTGAAATTGTTCCAAGAATAGTTTCAGTCTGTTAAAAATGAATGGTTAATATAAAAAATTCTACAAAATTAGCAGAAAAGAGCTAAATAGATAAATTTGTGTCAGTGAGAAGATTAGACAAATAATTCATGTATGCGCCAACAACTGGAGAGATGTTGCACATTCATTTCCAATACAAAATAATCATCATGATTTAAGTTCTTTTGATTTTACGACACGCAATGTAGCTAACTTACTTGTAGCAGCGATCCACTGAATTGACGAAAATTACATTTTTGCCACGAATTAAACGTAATTTCAATAAAGCATATAATATCGCTGGTTTGTCGTTCTCCTCTGCCGAAATGCGCTGATGTGAAAGCTGACTTTCGGGCACAAGATCTGGCTCTTCCAGTTTCAGAACAACTGGGTTATGAAGCACGATATTTTTCATGTTCATCACATCGTCTGATAAAGTAGCGGATACGAGCACTGCCTGCGTAGAAAAGTTTCTCATTTATTTATTAAAAAATACTTCATTAATCATATTAGCACTTACTTGATAAATTGGCGGAAGATGTTCTACAAGTTTTTTGAAATCTTTTTCAAACCCGAAAGAAAATACCAGATCCGCTTCATCTACAACCAGAATTTCGATATTTTTCAAATCCAGCGCTCCAGACTGTATATGTGTGAGTATTTTAGCTGGTGTGGATATCACCACATCGGGACGTTCTGAAAGCACATGCTGCTGTGCAACAACATCGCTGGATGAGAGATCTACAATGCGTACAACTTTGCCACATTTATCAGCCATTTGTTCCATTGCAGTTCGTGTTTGTTGACATAACTCTTTACTTGGTGACAGAACCAATGCACTAGTACATTGTTCGGACGCATTTAATTTTGAATTAAGCAACTTTTGCAACAAAGGTAAAGCAAATGCAGCTGTTTTGCCCGAACCAGTTCGCGCACGAACTACAACATCCTTGCCTTCCAAAAGCAATGGTATAGCAGCCTCCTGTATAAGTGTGGGCTGAAGCCATCCCATCTTTGAAATAGCCTACAATTGATAAGAACAGTAAATTTCAATAGTTTAAATTGGTTTAAATTACTGACCTTAAGCAGACGTTCGTCCAATTCCATTTCATGGAATTGCAGTATTGTTTTTCCACCAGCCATTATGTGGACAGATTGGACGTTTGAAGATTTCAATTAAATATTATTTACCACTGGAATAGAAATAAAATTAATCGCACTTGCCAACAAACACACGTTTTTGTTCAAAAAACATAAGGAACAATGTGCGGCCAAACTTCACCGACTACCGAGAGTGCTGCCAAGTAGGAAAAATATTAATAATTAATGAAATAACTTCAGGGCTTCCAAGTCAAATATGTTATTCGGTGATATCAAACAAAATGATATTGATATTGTTACGATTTTACTGAATCAACCTCGATTATTTTCTAGATCCTTCGGGTACGATCTCTGGATTGTTAAATAAAACTCGCCAACTTAATTTGCAGTTTCTTTCGTTATAAAGATTCTATCTAATGTCCTTTATTTTCTCAGTAATTCACAATTCAATTATACTGCACTTTACTATTTATAATCACTAACATCAACTTTCACAATTTCACTCTACTTAAATGTAATTCCCAACGCGTTCACTTTACGTCTTCACTGATGTTAACGCCAACCAATTTGCTTTGCCACTGCCTGACTTGCAGCTGAGTGTCGCCTTTATATAGCAGTCGGCTGCTCGCAGACGAAAGCGTAGAAGCATCGAATTGTTCGCTATGGAAGGTTCTTGTTTTATCGTACTTGTTATCGGCTTCTCTCTTTCATCTGACATTCGCCTCGCATTTTCGCAACAATATATATAAAAAATGTTACAGCTTTTGCAGGATTCTAATACCAAAGAAATATCATTAGCATTTTCTCAACACGACTTGGTTGTTTATATAAAGCTCTCATCAATTCCAAAACATTCAAAACCCTCGACCAGGGTTGAAAAAGAGGAGACTTTAGCCTAACCCTTCATACATATTCTGGATAAAGAATTACTGAAGTGTCTCATTGCAGCATTTGGACAGACTCGATTGAGTGGCTCGCTAAATAAATCCGTTTTCATTTCATATCTCCTCGGCCACGGCAGCCGAGTGGTTAGCATTGCGTCCTTGCATTCGGAAAGTTGAAATCCTGGTACAACCAACATCCAAAAGTTATGGAAAATTAATTTAAATAAAAAATTTATTTAAAATTCCTAATAGTGGTCTCTCTTCGGTAGAGAATTTCCCTCCTCCAAATGTATATCGGACATAAAATAAAGCTCCTCATAAAAACACCATCAACCATTCGGAGGCGGCTTAGGAAGGTCCCTCCATTTGTTTGAAAAAACATCAAGACGCAAAACTTTAAACTGGAGTAGGTATCATAATTAAGATGTTGTCACCTCGTTGTCGTCGACGTTAATATAGAGGTTTATATTACCGCTATATAATAGATAATTATGAAAGAGACAGGAGACTCCGACATTAAGATTCATATAAAAGAGTTATATATAATCGAGATTTTGTAACATATCGCTGAAGAGAAATAAATAATGTGACAAAAAATCCGTTCTACGTTTGCTTTGAATAAAAATAAATTAAATACGAAATTCAAAATAAAAAATTAGGAAAAGAGATTCTCACATTAAATAATGTAAATAAGTTTGTACTTATCAGGAATAAAACCCCAATACTTTAATTATGTTTATTGCAATAATGTAACCGTCCGTTAATATCGTCAATGCTACCAGTTGACTAAAAAGTGCTACCAAGTAATTTGACTATTTACACATGTTTTTGTTTACTTTTTGATGAAAGCCAGTTTCAGTTTATTCACCGGCCTTCTTTGGCGTAATTATTCTTATTAAATATATTCAGATCACTCAAAATTATTTATCAAATTTTTGCAATATGTCAACATCAATACGTGCGCTAATAACGGAGGGCATCCGAGTAGGTGCCATAATGGGCGCTGGAGATGCCCTTTGCCAAACTTGGGTGGAAAATCGCGAGCTGCGTAATTTGGATGTTAATCGAATGCTTAGATTTGCTTCGGTTGGCGTGGTCTATGTCGGTCCAGCTTTAAAAATCTGGTATGGAGCATTAGACAAAATCGTATCAAAGTCTAATCCTCCAATGAAGCGCGCATTGAAGAAAATGGCTATAGATCAAACAGCGTTTGCTCCTGCATTTATCGCCAGTTTAATAGGCATCTTCGGTTTAATAAATGGCGAAACAACAACAGTCATAAAAGAACGTTTCCAAAATGATTATTTAAGTATCCTGTCACGTAATTACATGCTTTGGCCCGCGGCACAAGTAATTAATTTCTCTTTAGTTCCACTTAACTATCAAGTTTTGTATGCACAATTTGTGTCTCTTATTTGGAATACCTATCTATCGATGAAATTAAATGATGAGCAGAAGTAACTAGAATTGTAGAAATCTCTCTACCTAAATCTACTTAAAATATGTATAAGTGTTTTGAAGTAAAACTTCTAAAATATAAAAAGAATTTGAAACTTGTGAATAGCTATAGTGCTAAAAATATTTTTAAATAAAATATATACGAAATCATGCTCTTCATTTCTTAATTTATGCGGCATCTAAAGTTAAAAAGAGCTTTCTTACCTTTCTATGCAAAACATTAACAACTTTTTAGTATACAATTTTATAAGCAAATGTACGCGAACACGTTTAACTGGCTTATGGAATTCTCGAAATTGGCAGCACTTTATCATCAGCTGTTTGCCCAAAAGAATGAATGCCGCATTGTTGCAAATTCATTTATTTTACAACTTTGGGCATATGGTGTTTTAAGAGCTTATAAGTTAGTTGATAATAAATTAAAAAAGTGTAAAAGCTATTTATAATGTCCACAACCCGCGAGGTGATTGCTTTACAGTTTGGTAATTATTCCAACTATATTGGAACACATTGGTGGAATATACAGGTGAGTTACAGCTTTAACATCTTAAGAACTGAACTGAACTTATTAAGGTAATCAATTAATTTTTAATTATTATGTCTTGCAGGAGTCTAGTTTCAGTTACAATCCTGAAGATGCACCCTCAGAAATTAATCATGACGTTTTGTACAGAGAAGGTGTAAATTTAAATGTGAGTAAATTGCAAGTATACCTTTAATCATAGATTCTTTTAATGATATATCCGTAGAAGCAAGTGACATATACACCCCGTCTACTGCTAGTCGATTTGGACGGTTCATTGAAGCATTTACCACGTGAGGGCGAACTTTATGGCAACAGTGTCAAACGTGCGACAGATGATAGTGCTGGTGATCCGCTGAAGAAAATTAAAGAAGATCTTGAGGATCTCTCCACCGATGTTGAGATTGTACAACAGCCACAAGCTGACAAACATGATTTCCAAAAAGACCTTGAAAATCCTGTTGTCGATATACAAGAACAGAATTACAATTTAGCTGATAATGTTGAAACATGGACAGACTATCTCTATGCTCGCTACCACCCACGCACTGTAAATATAATTAATGAATATAAATACGATACGGAAAAGCAAACATTTGATACATTCTCAAGTGGTGTACAACTCTGGAAGACTGAACAATTTGAATATGATTTCTGTGACAAAATACGACAATATGTAGAAGAATGCGATTATATGCAAGGTACTCAAGTATTATTTGATTGTTTCAATGGCTACACAGGCTTAGCCACAGAATGTATGGAATATCTGAACGATGAATATAGTAAGGCGATCTTTGCAATACCAGTGTACTCACCACGGAATACGCTCTTTGAAAATGCAGGTGCGTCTGAAAAACTATATAATTTGTTATTCAATTCATATGTTTCATATATAATCTTCAAAAATATAATCCCAAATTAGATGAACCTATGACAGACTCCATACGCGTGGTAAATAGCGCGTTGGCGTTCCATAAACTTAGTGAGCAAGCATCATTATTTGTGCCGCTTGGCACATGTGATCGTGTGTGGCGTCAGTTGGGCGCCGCGCGTCCATTAAGCGCACTTAATTACAAAGCTGATAATTTGTATCAAACTTCTGCCATACTCGCTGGATACTTAGATACGATTACCCTACGTTATAGACTACGCAATGCTCCCAGCGCATACTCCCTAGCAGGCTTCTGTGGTGACTTGACCAACTATGGCCGCAAATTAGCTTCCGCTGCTTTCGCTATGCCTTTCCCAATGCAGCATGATATGGACCTCATTGATTGTTTAGATAAATTCGAAGGACCTCTCTTCACATCACTTACGCCAAATTGTAATATAGGCACTGATTATATTATACAATCCTTGTGTGTACGTGGTATAGCACGTGAACGACTCAAGCAACCTTTAGAGAAGGCAAAAGAGCAAATGCGTATGGCAGCATATAAATGTGATAGCGTTTCAGAAATGTTCCAATTATATCTACAATGTGCCAACCATGCGAGTATGTCGCATGTAGCATCAGTTTCGATGGCCATCCCAACGCGTATACCTTTTCCAAATGAAATTTTCACTGATGAAATGACAAAATTGGGTTTTCTTTCAACAACAGCAAGAAGACTAGCAGAAGAGAAGGTCGTTTCTGTGCCCGCCCTGGCTGCTGTGCAGTCATCCAGCGAGCTTGGTGATACCTTAGAGACACTACACCGTGAAGCCAAGCGTGTGAAAATCGCTAAATTGCATCGGTTTAGAGCAGCGGGTTTGGAAGAGGACGATTATAGAGATGCGCTCGAGCAACTACTACTCTTCAAAGACAATTATGAAGATAATTTTGAGCTGTAACGTATATTCAGGGTTATGCTGAAGCGCAAATACTCAGGCTCCCAAAACAAGTGCATGTACAACGAAATGCAGTAGTAATAAGATTTAGTATATAAGTACATTGTTAAGTACGTAGCTAGTACCTAGTAGATAGTTCAAGAAAAATATGTATTTAATGATTTAACTGACGGAAAGAAAATAAATAAATGCCTTATTTATAACACTATATGCTTTTAGATGTCATTTAGAGTAGCTTTTAGGAATGTACCATTTATATTTTCCTCTCCGTACATTGCATTTCTCATAATGGTACCTAAGGTGCATGCAAGCAATGAGAGTTCGCCACCTACTACCCACTGGTCGCCACTCCGTTGATAATGTTGCGGTACTTCAATTACAATTGCTGTCTATTTTATATCAACCACAATGGCACAGCAGCGCCCATTGCATGATTGCACATCACGAACCATCAAATAGTTAAACGGAATAGATGGGTACTTAATATACAGCTGTATAGCATAGCACGTCTTTATATTCGTACCTTCATAAATTGCAATTGTATTGCATTTGGTTGAATTTAATACCTACATATACGTACATCTGTAAGTAGATATAAATGTTACGTTGGTCTTTATTTTTTATTTCTATTTCATCTGGTCCTGCTATCATCTTACTCCAGTTCGCTTACTTGGCGGTGTAAATAAATGATGAGCCATGAACATGCAATTGCCATGCACTCGCATGGGCCAAATGTATCGTTGGTCGGGCGGGTGGGTTCAGTTGATCGATAACGATGTTGAAAATTTGCAGTTTGGCATTTTAAAATGTACTAAATTTACTAATGGCAGGATGTGGAGTAATTTGCACACATCTTATAAATATATTTTCGATATTTTTTTCATTTTTAAGAAAAGCACTCATTAAACTACTTATGGTTTAATAATAATTTATAATAACAATTCAAATAAAAAAATTTATTTTTGTATATATGTATGCATATGTATTTATAATTGCCGCTTTATAACCGCTAAAGCGCTTTAAGTATGATATATTTATAATACACAAGTATAATACATAATAGTAAAATAAAGCAAAATTAAAATAAAATAAAATAATATAAGAATAAATAGAATAAAATAAATTAAAATAAAATAAGATAAAATAAAATAAAATAAACTAAAATAAAATAAAATAAAATAAAATAAAATAAAATAAAATAAAATAAAATAAAATAAAATAAAATAAAATAAAATAAAATTAAATAAAATAAAACAAAATAACATAAAATTAAATTAGTAAAACAAAATAAAGTACTCCAGCAGCTGTACACATTCAGCTCTGCCGCTCTTAGAGGAAATTTTGCTTTGATGCGGATTGAGGCGAGACATTCATCCACCGGGGTGAATGCCAGATTTTAGGATGGCGGTGATGCCGCCGGGTAGCGCTATCTTCCCAATTAAGCGACCGGTCATTCAAGGTGCATGCGCTCAAATCGTGATCCATAAAACATTGGCGGGGTCGCCATAAAAATGAGGCATCTCATACGAGGCGTTGTTCCAAAGTCCAATGAGCCGCTGCACCGCTGCATTTAGACTTCGGCAAACCCTTAATCGAATAAGTGGTTCCACTGAAGCTTCCTCTCTCTTAGCCGTAACCAAAGTCTACACACGAGTTGGTTACCGTATTTTGCCCACGAGTTGCTCTCGTCAGATTTACTTGCTCTTTATTAAATCACATAAATGAAGAAATTTGCATTCATTCTGCGAGTACCATGTTTTTCGGCTCGAAAATCTTAATTTACTTTCTAACTGTTGTTATGCCACGCGCTTTGAGTGCGCTTTAAATAAATTTTGCAAAATAATTTAAAAACTTTAAATTTAATTCACTAAAAATACATGTGCGAAGAACGCTTAGGAAAACAAACGAAGCTATCATTCAAGCACCAACAACTACAAAGGAAAACAAACGATTACAATTGATTTTTACAATGAGTGCTTTACCTTTTACTTTGGTTGTTTTTACTTTTAAAAATTTCCCCAGAAACTTCCCCCCCCCCCAGCCAAGCTTCCTCCATTGATTTGCCTACTTTGGCGCTTTGTATTCAAAGCACTTCCGGCGGCAATCAATGTCTTGACATGTTTACAATGCAAAATTCAAATTTAAGAATCGGCTTTAGCGGGGTAGTCGATCAACCAATTGAAGGTGAACTGGTGGCAAAATAAGCTATAATAACAACGGCAACATAAAAAAGGTGAGGTTAAGTTGAAATCACATAAAATAAAAATAAATAAATGCAAAACAAGCAAAAGGAATCGATAAAAAAAAAACACAGGCAAAGTTTACTTTTCAATGCCGTGCATACTTTTGAGACTTTTAACCCTTTGCCATCGTTGTTGTTGTTGTTTTGGTTTGTTTTCTTTTTAAAATTGCTAATACTACGAATTTGCTGGCACCGTGAACAGGGAAATAAACGGAGAAGTGCTCTCTGCAAAGGGGCTAATAATGATTTTGTTTATGTACTTTTCTTTTTTGTTGTTGTTTTTTTTGTCAGTTTTTGTCCTTTTTTTGTAGGAAATCATTGCAGTTTTTTATTGAATATTTTCTCTAAGCCTATTAAATTCAACATCAAAGCGTTTCGGGCCATCTCATGTACTCGTATATTCCATAAGCGTGTAATAATATTATTTTTTTATTTTCTAACGAGATTTAAATTTAACATTATTGATTCATAAAAAAATTACATAAACGTACATATTGAATTCAAAAATATCTCTGGTGTGAAGCTCCACTTGTAGTTGGAGGAAAAGTTGGAGAAAGGCATACAGAGCAAATAAACGGTAAAATACCGTTCTGCTAATCGAAAAACACAGTGATAAACATAAGGTAAAGGGTGATTTTCTAAGAGCTATAGAAAAGTTAAAAAAAACACATAAAATTCAGAAAAGTGCATGAAATCTTTATTTGAACCGATAGTACGGTCCACATAATTAAATCTTTGAAGTTTATTTCAAGCAAATGTTGACCGTGACTGCGCCTCAAATGATCCATCCGCTTAGTGAAATTTTGGCATACTCTTCCCAACATTTCGGCCGGTATCTCACGAATAAATGCTTTAATGTTGTCCACCATGCGTCAATTACAGCGGGCTTGTCTGTATAGACAATAGACTTGACATAGCCCCACAAAAAATAATGTAAAGGCGTAAAATCACACGATCTAGGCGTCCATTTGACCGGTCTCGAGCGTGAAATAAAATGTTCACCGAACTCGCCTCTCAATAAGTCCATTGTTACGCGTGCTGTGTGGCATGTGACACCGTCTTGTGGAAACCACATGTCATGCAAGCTTTTACATTTTGAGCAAAAAATAGTTCGATATCATCTCACGGTAGCGCTCACTATTCACAGTTACGTTACGATTTGCAACATCTTTGAAGAATTTAGATCCAATGATGCCACCAGGCTATAAACCGCAACAAACCGTAACTTTTTCTGGATACATTGGTAGCTCTTGCAAATGTTTCTGGCTGATCTTCACTCCAAAATCGTCAATTCTGCTTATTTACGCAGCCATTAAACCAAAAATGAGCTTCGAAGCGATGAACTTTCTGAACAGAGCACGCATTACTTTACTTGTCGAAAATCATGTCCAGTGAGTCTCACTTCGATTTACTGGTTTAGGCCCATGTCTCTGTCCGGAAGGCAATACAGTGTCCTTGTGTAAATAAATCTATTTTTTCACTCGCAACTACAAACCTGCTGAATGTTTTTTGCCCCCATTAAAAACGAACACTCAGAATGAGAAGTAAAATAGACAGGGTTCACACCAAGAGGTTTGGAAAAAGTTCATTTTATTTACTGAACGCTTTTAGGTCATCCTCTCTACTCCTATGACTTCTGATAACAGTCTTTTATCAGTAGAAATCCAAATAGCACTTAAACAACCGTTTTTAGGACATTCCTGACTATCATCACCACCTTTTGGCCATTTGGAATTGATTTCCTTTTCTGACGCAGGCTTAATACACGACGCCAGAGAACAGAGCAGCTTAACTATACCTATCATTTGATATTGAAGCGATATGCTGCTAAAGACGTTCCTCGACTATGGGATATTTACCTCTTGATATAGAAGTGTCTAAATATTATTGATCAAAAAGCTTGATACAAGTAAAGTAATAGTTTGGCCGGTTAAGGGAAAGGTGGTACCAAAGTGAAGTCTACGTCTGCGTTACGGCTTATACGTACAGCTTTGGAAATGGGCTTTGAAATCGCATAAGCGATTTTCAGCTGGGCTCCTTCTCAAATTTCGGAAGTACGTCTTAATGTTTTAAGAAAAAATGGAAGGACCTTCAGCTTATTTTGAACCGCCTCCAAACGGCCGCTTGACATTCTCTGTCGCGGGGCGGCCGCAATTTGAAAAATTAATTTTTTATAATTTTGGATGTTGGTCGAAACAGAGTTCAAACTCAGGTCTTCCAATTGTTAGTACGTAATGCTAACGACTCGTCTTTTTAGGTTAGGTTAAGTCGAATTGAAGAGATTGTCTACTGCTCGTCAGTCTAACCAAAGTGCGGAGTTAGCAAAACTGAATTAGGTGGTCATTCAAAAAATGTGTGTCTGTCCAATAGAAGATGTTCCGTATGTCTGCTTAACTAAATAAATTTCCGTTCTTTTTATTTGGATAAGCTCACGTGATTTCCTTTTATTCCATAGCTATGGGCCACATTACAGTGATCACATGGCATGTATTGAGCCTTTTCCGCGTAAAGTTAGCATCTGTGATGAATGACTCTCTTACAGAGAGTTCACAAATGGAGAGCGGTATGCCTAGACTCTTCTATGATGGCGAAAGTGGAAGAAAATCGTCCTTATTTCCAAGCTCGTCTGCAAACTAGTTTCTCGGTATGCTACTGTTTGCAGGCAAACCTACTAAGTCTAGACCATTGATTAGCTATAGCATTAAACGAACTGTACCAAATGTCTCCCGTTTTTGATTTTACCATGCCAGATTCCAGTCTTCTTAATACCGCTTTGGTGTCCCAAAAGTTGTAGATAGAATTCACTGAGACATGAGTTAGGTATCAAGTTTAAATCTAGTCGTATCTGCATGGGATGGTACCATCTTATCCCATTGATTCCTATCCGGTGTAACCATTTTGTAATCTTTTGACTGCGGTAGATGAGTTGTTAGTGGTGTGTGTGTACTTGAACTCACGAAAGCCAAGG